CCAGAATTCATAATAAAAAAAGATTTTGGACATTCCATTTTAAAATTTTATGTTTCTGAAAAAAGTTATAAAAAAAAAAATGGTAAATGTTATATAATTTATGAAATGACAAAAAATTTCATAAATCCTCGATATTTATCAATCACTCTAAAATAAATACGCAAATCCCTGAACTTTTGGTCCTAAATTATAACATTATGCAAATAGATACAATTAGCATTGGCTATTATTTCAATGACATCATTAAAATGTAACCCGATTTAAAATTGACACGAGATTTAAGTTAACTGGTCTAGTAGTTATTATTTTATTTAACAATGTAATCAAATTAATGTATAATGTATACTGGTTGATCGGTTTAATGATAATTATTCACGCGTCATTATGAGTATCTTACGTGGAATCGGACACTGCGTATTATTTCACATTTGAATATTTTTTTGTCTAACAATAAAATGTACATATCTCATGTTTGAGAAACATAGAATCCTTAAGAGTATTACTGTTTAAGTTTTGGTTTAAAAACTCATTCCATGCATATTATTCATATTGCTTTGACAATTGATGTAAATTAAATTAATACATTTGTATTTGAACAATATAAAAAACAACAGCCCCCCAGCAACAGACATTACTCATTTCACAATCTTGTTTTGCTAATGCAATGACTTATTGATGAATATATGCCGACAGTAATACAACGCTGTCTAACACTGTACTGTGTACCCGTTACACAAACATTAATAAATTTTATAAATTTTATTATACGGTTCCTGTATGAGATCCACTTATTAAAATTGTGTTTTATTTCTTCATCTGTTGACTCGAGTAAACAGTAACGGCTTACGTGGATAATGCCCACAATATACGATGTCAATTATTATCAGATTATAGTAATTATTTATATTAGGTACCTACAATATTCATCGGATGATTTGTTATCGATTAATCCATTAATGAATGAATTATTATTCAAAACTATGAAATCAACGAAATAAAATTAATAATGTCATGGTTATTTATTTTCAAGTTCGAAAAGTCGACTCCACGCTATAAATTATATATTGTTATCGGATTCACGCATATTAATGAAGCAATACTAATGAAAATATGTAATATTTTATAAACAATTACATTATCCTACTCTGATATCTCCCTCTAAACTGTTTGACTGAAATTCTACAGTGATACTCTGCGGTGACTCGACGTACTATATATTATTTTAAAAACAATAGTTAATAATAATTGAATAAAATGCTGTAAATGTACTTAGATTGTCAAACATGTTTTGGTTTTTCACGTCTTAGAAACTAGTGATAATAAATCGTTATTTTTCTCTTGGCTGTTTGCGGAAGAAAATATAAAGATGTATGGGTAAATATATTTTAATTTTATTAATTTATTATGTGAAATACTAAATAGTAAGGATCGTCACTTATCACTTCATATATTGATAATATTCTATATTTTGCCTTAACAAAAAAAAATCTTTAATTCAGTGATTTATATTATTAAAAATACACCTCACTGTTCACATCTTTTATGAACTCATTTTTGTGAATCATTTGGAGGACACCTACTGACGTTTTTTGGTGGTTAATGATTAATGGCACCAGAACATATTTTCGTACTCCTGCTATACTGTTTTTTATTTATTATTTTTATAGATCGATATGGTCAATTTATTTGCTTTTACTTTTTGTACAATCTCAGACATAGCGACGCACATTCATCATAATGTCTTATAATACATACAGCTGATAGCTAAAAAGATTTTAACAAACTTATTATAAAATAAATGTTAATACTGTGATGGTCGCAATTCTTACATTATCAAATACACGAACATTATACATAATTTACGAGGAAATAATTTACTCTGATAGTTAGTTTAAATTTAAAAATATAACATAAAACCCGATTTTAACTTTTAACTAGTCAACTAAAGTCACAACACTTACGTTTAAATAATTTCATTTATTAGCTATTTACAAACCACGTGACAGTCGTAGTGAGTGGTAAGAACCAACAATCAAAATCATAATTATTAAGAAGATAACAATAGGTATGGCAGTACTTTTACATACTAGTAAACAATAACATCAAAAATGAATGTTTTTTCGTTAAAAATTCGATACCGAAATCACAAATATAACAAAATAAAAAATACGATTTGCGTAATGTATTTAAATGAACTGCAATACGTCAATCAAAAATACTCCACTGGGTTGTTAGATACCTCAATTAACTGGCTTTTGATTGACATTTCATCAAATCCCTTGATAATTGTTTCATTAAAATCCCAAACTATTGATATAACTATACTGATACTGTAACCACAATTGTAAACGTAATCATTGTTCCATTTAAATATTATAGTGAACTGTAGAATAATTATGTTTTTTAGTAATAAATACCTATTACAGATTTTAAATATCCTAGTATGAAAATTAACTCCATTTTATTCAATAATAATGATATCGGAATAAAACCATTTCATTTTGCATTCTGCCTACCCTATTTTCACTTCATTTATTTAAAAAATATTAATATATATACATTTTTTATTTTATTATAAATGCTAAGAAAATAATATTTTATTATGAACACTGAGAAAACAATATTTTATAACAACCTTTTTATTTTATCCATTTTCAATTAAATTCCGTTAATACTTAGATTATTTATTTGTCTTAGTCAATTTTGTTTTATACTTGAATGAAATTACCTCTATATTATGTAAATATGTAATAGAAAGAAAAATAAAAAGCTAAAAATATTAAGCATGTAATTTTGTAAATTATGTAAAATAAAAATACCTATATTACTAATATTACTTATAAGGCTTTTTTTCCTTTTTACCTACTAATATATAACTAAAGTTACTGATTTTGTTTGTAAAATGTTTTTAGTGTTACTTTTCAATTCAGAGACAATATAAACCAATTTAGTGTTAATGGTATAATTGTATACCTATTGGTTTTAAATAAGAGTATTATATACAAACAATTTAAACTTAATGTTACTTAGCGGTACTTGTTCAAATAAAAACATTTTGACCCTCATGAATTTTAGATTTATTATTATTAAAACTATGCCTGACTATAACAAATATGTTTAACATTTAATTCGGAGATGTTATTATGTATCCACCTATTTGGCTACGAGCCTATTCAGAATTAAAAAAATGCTTTTACAAAACGTAAAAACTAAGCTTTTTACATTCAAATAACTTCTGAAACCTTTTATAGGTTTATATAGCATCTCGTTTTAGATACATTGAATAAAAATCAGAAATCATATAGTACATAAATAAAAATAATTTCAATTAAATATTTCTTAGATAAAGTTCTTATTGAATATCTTCGGGACCCTGCTTAAAGTAAATAACTCAACTTTACAAGGACAAAGAAAACTTTTATTGAAAAATCAAAATGTATATATGAAAAATTAGACTATAAATTCAAAAACCTTTTAAATTACTCATAAATGCCAATCTACTCTCTAAACGCAAAAGTAAACATATAAATTAAAATAATATCAATTACATTTTCCACTCCTCTTGATGGCTGAAACGCTAAAAATAATACTGACAAAGATACTTTTTAGCTTAAATTTTTTTTTTACATTACAACAACTGAATATAGTGTGGTTTAAAAAAATCAATTGATGAATCTATAAGTCTTATGTATCATTCTAACGTTGTAGTGTGAACTTAATTCTAGATAATATTATGAACTCACTAAAGATACCTAATAAATTATATTAATTTTACATTTTTATTTATTCTTCTTTAAAAAATTAACATTCAACGTGTCATAAACATATTTATTTTAGCCACTTATTCTATAAAAATATGTTTTTCTTTGTAAATGTATATATTGCACACATTTATTGTGCAACATAAGTCAATTTTATAATATTAATTCTTATAATACAAGTATAAGAGTATTGAGTATACTGTTGAAGTTGATAATACATTAATGATTTGATTTACAATTCGTGTATGCACGCAATGAAATGTTACTTAATAATAATTGCACTTTTTAATAACAACACTAAATACGCGATTTCATACATATCTAAACATTGATAAAAGTATCGTTGAATGTATGAGAACTGTATATTTATGTATTAGGTATAATATGGTAATATAATGAAATATTTATAACCCATCATTTTTTTTTTATTCTGGTGTCCTAAAAATTAATAATACCAAATGGATAAATCTGTAATAGCCCATTTCATTGTTATTTTTTTTTTTTTATCTCAACTGTAACGAAGTACATAATATACATATAATTTATATAGTTAATATTTTAGGGGGGGGGGGGTCAAAATAAAAAGTTTCGGTAATAAGGTAATATTGTGGTAATATTTATTGAGCTACAAGTTCATAATATTTTTTTCCAAAGGGGGGCAAGTCTATCTTGCCTCCCCCAATGGGCGCCCATGCATATAAATACTACTGAAAGAGTGTGAGAGGGTCAGTTTTTTTGTAGTAAAACTGAATTTTTTTTAGGTGAATTGAAAACATTGAATCGGAAATAAACAACTAGAAAATAAAATATTTACTAGAAAATGTAACCATTTACGAATACCTAGCTTATGATGTCAAGGTTAGGTTAATAAGATGGTGATTTTTCAATTTTCATTCCATTTTTTCTGTGTCAGAGTTATTATCCGTATTAGACAATACGATCAGTTCAAGGATCTAAAAGCAAATCGCGGAGAATTCATAAAATGGATTCACAAATTAAAATAATAATAGTTTAAAGCAATACATAAATATTCAAAATACAAACATACCTATCTATAGGAGTTATAAATCCAAACAATGACACTATAATATAGCACCTACAGGAACAGGAGCCATGATCAAAAGATTTTTCATTTATCATATAACTCTGCTAATCAATTTAAATATTATATAATCTATATTGATCTCCAACTATGATATAAATTATCAAATAGGTATCGTCTTAATAATTATTATTCACCTGGTAAATGCGACTCATTGAAGTACGTCTTCTCCATGATTGTTTTATTTTCGTTTAATCTAGAACACATAATTGAATAATAAGTAGGTACATTATATTATAGAAAAAAATAATACTTCTAATGATGAATCAAGAGTAAATTGATTTATATATAATAAATTAAATATATGATAAATACAGATTATACAGCGATAAATAATATTATTAGGTGTTTATAAATATTTTTATCAGGTATGATTCATTGTTTATTTCAAAAATGCCGTATATTCCTATAAAAATGATATAATTTACATAATATTATGCTGACATAACAGATAATAATAATAGTAATAATAATAATACTAATAATTTCCACAGTAGTAATCAATGATACGCGTGTAAAAAAATATAATTCGAACATATGGTTTTAATATTTTATACTTTAGTTACAATATTATGCAAAAAATTCATGGACAAAATACTCTAGTCTCTAATAATCTTTCACTCTCCTCGACCGTAAATTGTAATATTAAAATATAATGATACGGTAAAAACAATTCTTAACCTTCGCAACTAAAGTGAGACCAATTGAATGAACATAATTATCATAGATCATAGACAGCAAGGTTATTATTATTGTCAAAAATGGGTTGAGAGGTCTTATCAAAATAATTCTTTGTTTGAAGGTTTAAAAATAGGTAGTAACTACAAAACTTATTATTTTTTTCCCTTAAAAAAATCGTCTTAACTGTAACTGATGGGTATAATGTATATGGCACATAGAAATATAACAGTTATGATACAATATACATTTATAATTTGAGTAAGCAGGTGTGCGGAGCACTTAAACGTGTGTAGCCAGGCGTACACATACGGTATGTACTACGTAGTGAAAAATATAAATATAAATAAATAAAAATGTTATACAGAGTGATTTTGCAATCCCCCCCCCCCTCGCACCCATTTCTTCTTTTTATGGTACACTTAGCCAAAATCTGGTTTTTGGAATTTTTAAATTTACTTAAATACCATATTCTTGAATCCTTAATATTTTTTTGAGAATTGTTATGTATAAATATAAACATATAATATAGTATATATTATAAATATATAATCAAATCAAAATTCGAACGAATAGTATATGACATAAAAATTATGTATTAAATATAATAAGTTCATGATAATATGTTTGGAATACATGGGGGCTATGATGATTTGAAAATTAATTAAATTTATATTTATGTATCAAAATTGTATAATTTTTTAAAAATTTCCCGAATTTAATAAATACTAGGTTCAGTAATACATTTATTTATTATTTTTTAAAACCATTTTTAATGACTACAGTATTTCGTAAATACTAACATCTTCATAACTTTGAAACCACTCGTTAGAAATTTGATTTAGATAGGTACCTCATTATTTTTTTAAATAATAAATAAAAAAAATAAAAATGGTTTCTCGATTAAAAAATATAATTTTGTATCACCACAGGGCACTAATTTAGTGGTACGAAAAATATTAAGTATTTAGTATAACTTTATGATTTTTAATTATCAATAATCTATGATAAACTGATCAGACATCACATTTTTCTAACTGTGCGAATAATTTATAATTTTTTGAACTACTTTTATTTTTTCAATACAATAATGTTTCTAAATAAAAACAAGTATCTACAATTAATAAAAATTAATGAATAAGCAATTTGGTCAATTAACTATGTAAAATTAACTAAAAATAACTTATACCAATTAATAATGTATAAAAACATATTATTATCGGTAGGTACCATACTAAATCCACACATAATTTTTTTTGGCTTCAAGTTTTATTTCCAAAAAAAATAGTAATAAAATAACTTGTCTGAATGAGAAAATTAATCATCGGTAAATTAAAGAATATAATAAATGGACATCGGTGAGTGATAGAGATCCTCCGGCACTACTGGATAAAAAAGCGGAACTTTTACCAAATTGATTATGACTAACAAACATACAAGTTAGCCATGGAACAAACGAATTAAAAACTTAGTTAATCTGGAAGAAACTGTTAGCTGCAGAAGTCTTCGGGACACAATTAATGAGGGTCCTTGTGCTGCAGAGGAATAAATAATACCATTGTGATCGTTGGACCATAAGTCATCAGAAAGATTAAAATTATAACATAAAATGAACATATGATTAAAATGAACGGAAAGAAAATCATCTTTAGCAATTATAATAATATACATGTTATAGGACAAGTGAGAAGAGTTAGGAGCTAATAGACAGCCACTTACTAAAAACTTTTTATCATTAAAAATAAATGCTCAATACTTACACTAGCGGCAGAAATTAAGTGAGCAGGTATGCTATAAAGGACCCTGACACATCTAGAATAGCATGTAGCAATATTTCTAATGCATCGTAAAAATATTTTAATCACTTAAACTTAATTATACATCGACTACTTATTTGTTAAGCCATATTACAGATAGCAGTAGGTATATGAATTTATATAATATTACATTTACAAATATTTACCTTTGTCCTAAAACATAAGCATTTTTTTGTAAAAATTAAACGATAAATAAATAATCAGAGGTATTATAGTATAACTCAAAACTTATATTATTTACAAGAAAATAGTTAACATCGTCGCTAAGGTTAAGTTTTTCCTTGACGTCGTGGCCGATACACTTGAATGTTTCTTCAAAAGTTGAGAAAATGCATTAAAATATCCAATAACCCAATGGCCATTGACAATATATATCACGTAAACATTCAAGATCAAAACGAATCCCTGAGAGTTCTCAATGCTGCATATGACTATATAAGTCAACTTCTCACCATTCCACGATCTACTTCAAAGCTCAAAATGACACAGTTTGGATTTGGAATTCAGAATCACTATAACATTAGACGAAGAACTTACATTATATTATATTATAGTTTTTTTGCTTACTTATAATTACTATTCGACATTAATTGGTGATCCAGAATAATTGTTTTTTTCTTAGTATTATGTCTGGTCAGACGTTGAAATTTACTAATTGTATTTTTAGACATATCAGATATAAGTATATAACCATGAGTAAACATTACCAGTTTCTTAACAAAAAAACTCATTCCTAACATATAAGTAATAGAGTGGTGACTTCGATGACTTGTGTCCAACACAGTGAGTATTCGACAACTGACTAAAAAGACGATGGTTTTAGGATCAGATAGTATTTACTATTTACTAATGCGATTACATGATGTGACGAAGTAAACCAAAAACTTGGAAACCGATAACTAGTGACAACACAAATAAATTTATAACACCAATAAAGTAAAATATTATTTGAAAACACTACAGTTCAAAAATTACAAAAAAAAATAAGCGACAACAACAACATTAAACGTTGATCATGGTTAAAGGTTTAGACTGAAAGTCTAAATAATAACTTTTTGATTTCCAAGCAAAGTTTTATCAAATCAATATTAATTTTGGTTTGTGTTCAACACGTTTGAAAGTAATGGTAGAACAGTATATAAAAACACATATTGAATGCTAAGTAGTATAACGGTAACAATAAAGCTTCCGGTACTCGGTAAACTATCGGTCAATAACTGAGAACCTGATTCATGTGTATACGTAAAAAAAAATTGAATTAATTGCCATTTGTTAAAAAATGATACAATTTAAAATAAAAACCATTTATACTCAATGTAAGCAAATAAAAAAATGTCTGTATCAATAATGTTGAACTGTTGTAGTACCCTAATTCTGTTTATTGGCATGTCTTACACATACGTACCTACCTACTATATTTATTATCAAAATAACAAAATAATAATTAATTGATACAATTATACTCCTAATAATTGATATACTAAATACTTAATTATTTAATAATTAAATTAAATTACAAAATATGAATAGTTTTATTTTATTCGTCAAACCATTTTAAACCTATCTATTTTAATATTTTAAATATTATATTATATTTATGCATATTGCATAAAAATTCCTACTTATTTCGAAGTATAAAATAAAAAATGTGACTCAGTGATGCTTAGCCGTACTCGCAATCAGCGGAAACTCTCTGAGTGTACGCACCGGCCGGCGTTGCAAGCTCTTGGATGGGTAACCACCCATTATGTTTTACCAACGAAATCCTTGCCACACATGCAATACGTGTTCTAAACCAACCATTTCCCACTACAAACAACTAATGGCCATAGTTTCTGGGCTATAGTTCAATTTAAAAAAAAAATTAATTTTTCAATGACATTTTAACAGTAAAAATTAATTATTTTTAATGCATAATAAAACGGGCAATTAGATTTACGGAACTTTTGTTTTTTTCTTCAATATAATCAGAAAAGATGGTTTTCTCAAACCTACGTTTAAAGGATTCAATAATTAATTAAATTTTAACTTCTAGCCAATCTTTTAATCTTGCATTATTGCATTCAAAGTATAAATCATTATGACGTTCAGATGTTAGTGAACCTAAATTTTACTAAGTGCTGATTTTAGTTTAAAAAAATGTAACATTGTTGTTTAACTTAATATTTTCGCAAAACTTATTTTTGTTCTGTTTTATTTGTTCACAGGTATTCAAGTCCAAAACGTTCGTGGTTCGTCGAAGGAGAAATGGGGCGCAAACATCAGGGTGCAAAGGACACATATGACATAGACAGCCTGATCTCACCTATTTATGCTATGACCACAACTGGCGGGGGCATGAATAGCACCGGCTGGATGGGCTACAAAGCAGTGCCCGTCGATGAACCTAAGCCACGGACCCCATTGTTCCTGATAGACAATGGTCTCAGTGCTAAGACACTAGATGCTATGTTACACATATTCATTATATGTTTAGTACTTTTCATTATTATCAATTGTATGTGTAAATTTGTTTGGTTATTTTTAAAATGATATTGTTATACTAATATTATTGTGTGAATACTGTATATAGGTAGTCTTAAGTGCCTTGCTAAAACATTTTTAGTTTAAATACCATTTTTTTTTTATTATTATTTATTGTGTGTTATATTTATAACAATATTGTAAATCATATTTTTTTTATTCATAAGTGTATAATTTATTGACGATTCGATTCTATTGTAATTTCATTAGTTAAATATTACAAAGACAATATTATCATATTGTTGTTATTATTGTTACCCAAAATAAACATGAATACTTTTGTGGTAAACATATTATAGTGAATATTTCTGTTTAAAATTAACTAGAAATAATTGTCATAGTTCAATAAAGTTACAAGCCTTATAAACACTTAAAAGTTATTGCCAAACCCAACACCCTACACCAAAATTAATATTATCATAACTATTGAAGTCCAACACTTTAATATTCATTAATCACTTATTTAATAAATACTATTAAATGCACATACAACATAGATTAGCTATCTATCTAAATAGAATGTGATTTAGAAAACTAACTGTTAACTTTCCACACACATGATTAAACTATAAAACAGTTTAATGAATGTCAACATCAAAATAGAGAATTACTAAAATAGTAAAATGGTCTAACAGTTCTATAAAGAGGACGTTACACTGACATTTGTTGTCTCCGTCTTACAAGTGCGTAACATATCAAATTTTACGCACAGCTGATCACGTTTAACTCCGTTAGTTTAAAACTTAGAGTGAATTGACCTTTTATAAAATTTAAAGCAAAGATTATTATCTAGAGCATATCATAGCATTTTTATCATATTTTAATTTTAAAGCAAGTTATGAGTATTTTACGATGCACAAACAATTTACAATTTTTAAAAACTCATAACTGGTTTTTAAATTAAAATATAATAAAAAGCCTATGAAATTCCTAGGGTGATAATTGTACCTTTATATTTTATAAGAGGTCCATTCGCTCTAATTTTTAAACTCACTTAAATAAACGTGATCTACTGAGTGTAAAATTTGCTATGTTATGCACTTGTAAGACGGAGATAACGAATGTTCGCGTGACGTCCTCTTAAGTTAATTTTGTATTGTACCTTAAATTCTCGATCTTCTTAACAATGAACATTACTTTGCAGAACACAACATGTCACTTCAACCATAGAAATAATTAAAATAGTATATCTACACTCTGTATAGGTACACCGTACACATTATTATTACCAAGTTACATATTTAATCTATTTACGCGAAAACTCGATAGTCACAAATATGAAGTAATTTTTTCCAAATTCACATTTTTTATTATTTCATTGGTACTGTAAGTACCTATTATTTAGGTGACACGAAAAATGTCTCAGATAAATGTCCATTTTATAAATCATTACATAGTAATAGTAGCGACATATGAATAGTTTGAATGATTGCTAAATGTTTCGAATGAATAATAGAATTCTGAATTTACATAGGTACTATAATTACGGACAGCATTTACAAATAGATATTATAACACATTACGTTCTAAGAGTAAGAGTGATATAGCCTATGCATATTAATTAGCATAACAATAATATATATTTTTTTTTAAATTTGTACTGTTGGTTACAAAAATCAACGATCATCAATTTTATAACTTTTTAAATTCCAATGTTAGGCCTTAGGCTTAACCATAACCATACACTTACTACACTTATATTACACATTAAGTCACCATAATATGTCCTATTTTAAACGATAAAGTTCCGGCTCTGTGCTGTTATCAGTCAGCTTGTACTGATTACGGAAATGTAAATTATAAACCTATAATAATATGATGAAGTATTTTATTATTATCGCCACAAATCAGCATACAGCGCCAACGGAGTAATCATCGACGTTCCCTTTTAAAGAACGGTTTTTTTTTTGCTACAGTTTTGGAGTAAAAAATATTACGTATTCAATGTTTTAATTGCTATCAATTATCATGGAATTTATATACTTAATTATTAATATAACATAAACATTTATTGTAATACCTATTTTTTATACACAATATTCGAAACATAATATAAAACTTGACTTGAAATCAAAAGGACTTTAAGGTTGGGTTGACCTAACCTAACAATAATTAATAAAATATTAAAATGAACAAACTTAATAACAAAAGTTAATTATATATAGTATACACTAAAATGCTTAAACAATAAAGTCATCAATTTATCATAATCATTAAATCAATAATAATAATATTTCTCGAATTAATAATATTATTTATTTAAATTTATGGAATTACAAATATATTTCGGTTTTTTTATTTCACTAATTTATAATTGTATGTTCACCTAAACATATAATTATATTATTATTACATTGTTTCTATATTATCGAAGATTGGTAAATTCTGTCATGCATATATATTTTAACAAAATACTTGTACTAAAAATATTCTCTTCTTGTTGTATTGGCAAAAACCGTCTGTTGCAAAAACGATATTATTATTTGTAACCTTATCATATACCTATAATATGATTGTAAATTAGTATTTCAGAATAAATCGGGTATCGGATTGATTTGTGCTGAACGTTTAGTTAGATAGTATATTGCAGACACTATCCAACATCAATATCTTGTGACTTAGGTGCCTAAAATTAAATTATATTGAATACTGTTGTAGGTACCTCCTTATAATCAATGAAAGATAACAATATATTATAATTTTATGGAATTCACTAACTATATTACTTATTGATAAGCACCAAGGTAAACAAATTTCAGCCACCATTAACGAAAAACTATATTTTTTATCGAAATTCATAATATCCTTTAGTTTAAACTACATCGTGTAAATTGTCATAACCCTATTTTTTGATGTTTAATTACTTTTATATCAAATAGAAAGCTATAATATGTTAAGTATAAAAGTTGTTGATAGAGATCTTTTAATTTTATTTCATGTGGTCTTCAAATTCACATATTGCACCACTCTTATTCACTGTGTTAATTAATGATGTTCAATTTTCAGATTCAAGTACCCTGTGTTATTATTTGCTGAAGATCTTAACTTATTTCATATTATAAAAACCTCTAATGATGCCATAATACTACAAAACGATATAAATTATCTACTTATATAACCGGCGTGATCTTAACAATTTATACTTAAATATTCTTAATGTAAAGTAAACAATTTGAGGAAAAAACGAGCTCCGTATCTTCGTAATTATTAGGTACTTAAAAAATTGTTCACTCATTCATGTTTACCAGAATAAAGATTTAGGAACCTCATAAGAAATTATTAAAAATCTTTTCGAGACAAATCTACCAATTCCACCACATTTTATAAACGTGCAAAATCCTCTAGGCCGGGCTACCTAAAGTTGTAAGGACTTCAAGAATCCAGTTTCACTAAAAGCGCAATTTTAAAGTTTGGTCACCAAGCCCTTTAAATTCAATACAAAATATTGAGTATATTCAAAATCATTTTCTGAGAAAAGTGTCTTTTAGACGTATTTTCTTGTACGATAACGTCACTCCATCATCACTATCAACCATTAACTTTTCTAGACCTTGGATCATAGGAAACATGAAGAATAAGTTTAGATATTTACTTTATTTTCAAATTACTTAAAGGGCATATTTACAGTCCAATCTTACTTGCCAAATTAAATTATTCAACTCCTACCTACTCATCGTACTAGATAAACAAATAAATGCGTGTGCTATTTCAATCTGTTGACTATGGTCTCAATTTTCCTATTAATGAATTTAGTTAATAAGTATATTATTAATTTAATTCATAAATAAATGTAAATTTTATTAATACAAATTTAAATAGTTTACTTTCTTAATTTGTTTGTATATTTAGAATCTCACATGATCACATGTATTTTATAGATACTACCAACTGTATAATTATTACTATTTGAGAATTGCCCGTATAATTAAATAAATAACCTAATCAATGCAGATTCAAGAAAATGGCCTAAGCAAATATGGAGAGAGCAGATAAATAAATAAAATCAAACAGTAAAAATAAAACAAAATGACCAAATATTTAAATGTTATATTTTAAATCTCTATACACGATCATATAGCTATAATTAAATCTTAATTAGTGAACATCAGATAATTATCGAAAATAATACATAAATAAAATAATAATATTTAATAATAATAAAAATATGTTTATTATTATTCTTTTGTTTTTAACTTCAAATGTTGAAGAGTTAAGAGTTTTGATGTATTCAAAAATAAAGTACAGCTAATTGGGTAGTATATACTATATACCTATTGATTGAATTATTATATTATGAAACAAAAACACAGTAGTTCAACATCGACTCAGTATAAAACGCATAAATATAAATAATACTTAATAACAATTATTATGGTGGACTCAAGCGAGGTCCTTACCATAAGCTCTTTTGCTCAGATAAGATATCATAAACTGCAAAATTGGTGATCCGTATTATTGAAACAATTGAATAGACCTGCACACTCCTTTATCAAGCACAGATCACCGAAAGCACTCAATAATCGCTCTTTTAAGCAGCAGCTACAGTAAGTAACAGAAGCTACTTAAATAAGGTGGTCGATTGTCATTTAAAGGTTTGTCATCATAACGATAATACGCTCAATAACAATTAAGACCATGACTGTATTGCAAGGATTAACTGAGGTGAGCACAGCACTAAAGGTTCGAAATCCCGATTATTAGTCAACAGTGTCGTTGTATAGCTTATCGATTGAATATGTTACATTGAGTTTTTACCAATCATATTATATTTTTTTATTTATTTATTTATTCCCCATTTTATTCTAACAACTCTCTTTATTTACCTTAAATAAAATAGAAAATTTGCAAAATATGCGATAAGTTCTGCTCGGTAACATTTTTTAAATGCTAAACAATTAAATTATCATTGCTTTAAATTTTTAATTTTTTAAATATTTACTTATACAGTATACACAACAATTGTTATTCAATATGGATAAGCAAACGAGTTACAGACATTCAGATTTTTGAAAGCACATTTTTTTGAGGAGATTCGTGTTTTCTCTAATGCATCTAATAGTGTATAATTTGTCCTTATGATAGCACTAATTTAAGGGATGGATACAATTTATTATTATTAAATAATGAACCTGACATATTACTGTATAAGTTTTTTCATTTTTTTTTCTTAATGAATTAAGGTTTTTGTTATTATTAAATTACCAGACAAGCTTAAAGAAAATTTATAATGATACCAAAAACTTTCATATAGTTATAAAATTTCCCCCCCCCCCCCAAAAAAAAAAAAAAATATTTATAAGTACTCACTACTCACAATAGTAGGTTATACCAAAATATTTTTATAATAATGTACCTTTTGTTCTTTTG